GTGCCTGGGGATGTTTAGATTAGATATCACGAAAACCTTTTTCTCTGAAAGAGTAGTCGGGAACTGGAATGGTCTGCTCAGGGAGGTGGTGGAGTCACCGACCCTCAGTGTTCAAGAAGCACCAGGACAAGGTGCTAGGAGATATGGCTCAGTAGCTTAGTGGGTAGTATTAGTGATAGGAAGGTTGGAATAAATGGTCTTGTAGATCCTTTCCAAATTTGTGTTTTTATGATTCCCATGATTCTATCATAGGACAAGGGGAATGGTTTTAAACTTCAAGAGGGTAGATTTAGATTCGATAGTCAGATGAAATTCTTGACTTGGAGGTGAGGCACTGGAACTGGTGCTGTGGATCCAGAGGTCACCCAGAGGGAGTTTGGATGAGCCCATGCCCTTGTGTTTGAAAGAACAGCTGGTGAGAGTGGAGAGGCAGCAGTGAAATCATGGGAATACCAGAGTGAGAGCAAGGTAGGGAAGAGAAGTGGTTGTCTGCAGCCTTCAAGGAAGTGTGGGACAGCACAGGAAAGCATGCAGAGGAGTAGGCAGAGGGCTCTGACAAGAATGGAAGGCTGCAGCAGCACTGACAACTTTGTCCCCTTAGCCATGGGTTATGAGGAGATGTGTTATACTCATGGCATTGGGACCATGTATTCTCCTTTATCCCTGTGCAAACACTGGAAGGTGTCATATCATTGTCCTTCACACGATATCATGGGCATCGCACATGACCCCAGACCCTCTGATATAATAACAACCATCATAAAGCTAATCCCAGTTAGATGACTGATATGGGGAGGTCAGGAGTAACCTGGCCAGGAGAGATGTCAGATTTGGGGGAGGGAAGAGAAGGGAGGAGGAGCTCAGAAGCTTACCTTTGTAGAGGTACGAGGGTTCATGTAATGTTGAGGCTGCTGTGACACTGACTTCAAACAGTCTTGTAGGGCCTATAAACTGTTTTCAACAGTAACAATAATCCCTCAACCTAAACATTACACAAACACCCTGACAGGACTCCACTACTGTAATGCAGAAATCAAAGTATCACCTGAAGAAAAACTCAGCCCATAGCCCCTTTCCCTTACATTTACTCTCTTGCTCACCCGAATCACTGCCCCTAACACTAACATTAAATGGCTCTATTTCATCTTAGACTTCTTGACAGATGTAAACAAAACCCTTAAGCAAAATGCTTGCCCATACCCTAACCAGAGACCTGACACCACAAGCAGAACACCAAATGCTCCATCTAAAACTTTGCTTAATCTATAACCCAGAAAGGTCAAATCTAGTCCCTAGGAGAGTAGAGAGAGGTCAGCTCTACCTCAGGATCTCTTGCCCCAGCAGGAGGAATGTGACTGTGGCAGGGACTGTGAGGTCACTTCTGTCTCTGCACTTGATAGGGCAGCAGCAGCAACGTGTCAATCAGAGGGACTGGGAGGTCACTTGTGTCTGGAGGTGGCAGATCACCCTTGCGTTCTCCCTGGGATCTGCACTTTTGGGCTGACATCTGGCAGTGGCCCTGCTAGGCCAGCAGAAGGCACCTGCTTGGCATGCTGACTGGGGGATCCCCTCTGCCTCCAGAGCCAGGAGGACCCAGGCAGAAAGAAGGCCCCAACATGGGTTGTCCTGTCCCTTCTGCTTGAGTCCATGACTGGGCAGCAGCAGGCACAAGGCTTGGCCGTGTCTCCACAAGAAGCTGCAAGGCCAGCAGCAGGCCCCTGGCCTGGAAGCTGCTGCTGAGGTGACTTGTGTCTGCTTGGCTGAGAGGCCACAAGGAGCCTGCTGGTTTGGGATGCCTACTTCAGGAGGGGTTTCCACCCTGATGGAGCTTTCTTTGGTAGTAGGAAAGAGCAGGAGAGAAAAAGTTGCCACAAAGTGTGCCCTGGAGGTTGGCACTGGCCTTGATGAGGAAGAAATGTCTCTCAAAAGGTCTTGCTGTAGTGCCACAGGTCACCCTCTGATCAGACCATGGCTTTGTCTTTCAAGGAACAGCTGGTGAGGGTTGACGAGACACGGGAGAAAGCAAGGGATGAGAGCAAAGTGGTGAACAGTGATGAGTGTATGAAGACTTCAAGGAAATAGGACAAATTGTGGGACAGTGTAGGAAAAGCTACAGAGGAGAAGGCAGAGGGTGCTGGCAAGAATGGAAGGTCCCAACAGCCCTGAAGGTTTTGTCGCCTTGGCTAGAGCTTATGAGGAGAGATGTTATACTCGTTGCAATGGGGCCTCATTGATTCCTTGCAACCCTGTGCAGCACCTCAGAGGTGTCATACCAGTGTTCTTCCCATGGCATCATACTGCCCACCACAGCCCACAGACCCCAGCAAGAGCCTTGAGCCAGACATAGGGGTGCAGGATCTCCCCTCCTAGTGTCTTGGGCCAACCCTTGGCCCTTCTGCATCACCAAAACAAAACAAGACTTTTCTCAGCACAGCGCTTTGCCTGTCTGTAACCACGGCCTCCAATTATCTGCCCTAACAAGTCCCTGGGGAGGCTTTGTTAGTAACAGCCCTCAGTGGGGCCCATTAATACTCCAACTCACTTCAACTTTTTCTTCTGACTTTACTTTCTCTAGCAGTTGCATCATTCACCTCTCAGTACCTGAGCTTCATAGACTGAACACCAAAATCCACCATGGAACTCATTAAAATGCAGAAACTCCTAACATCCCTTTGATAGTTTTCTTCAAGCCTTTACGCCTTGTGCAGCTAATTGCAGAGCTTGCAAGATGTAGTTAAGGAAGAAGATTTTAAAGAGCAACCACTAAAAATATTTTCTTGTTTCAAAGGCTGAATTTTGCTGCATTTCAGTTTTGAACCTCATTCTCCTATTGCTATTGATACAGGGTGACTTCTTTGGAGACCTTCATTGGGAGGAAGAGCAGAGTGTGCTGGTCTGACACCTCCACTGCCAGCAGTGGTCTTTGTCCCTGTAACTGCAGCCCAGCCCAGCACATGAAACCCTTTCTAAGACATGTCAGGGGTTCCTTACAAAAATTAAATAAATAAATAAAACTAAACTAAACTAAACTAAACTAAACTGAAGTAAACTAAACTAAACTCAAATAAAATAAAATAAAATTTGAAATGACCATTGGGATCTGAGAAATTCTAAATGAATCTTAGTAGACAACTGGGCATCCATAGTCTCTCTTGAGTCTTCCATGGAAAACTGAGGAAGAAAATTAAAGGAAATATATGTTCATTGGCTGTAGCTGTACCCATGAGCTTGGCCTCTTTTGGGAAATTGTTCCCTTCCAGCCACGGAAAACTCAATTGATGTGAAAAGAGCTGCCCAGTTAATAGAGTAGGGCAAAGTCCTACTTCCTGTGCTATAGATGCACAAGGCAAAAAGAATTGCATTGTGCCTGACACTACTCTGGGACGTGTCACCCAGGTCAGGCAACTTTACCTTAGTGCTGACAAGTCCATCACTAAACCACGCTCCCAAGCTCTACACCTACCCCTTGGCTCTGCAGTCGATGACCCAGCTCATGGATGCCAATCAGGGAGTCTCAGTTCGCACAACGCTGCCTCAGGTCCTCCACCATGGTAGCCATTGGCACCTGCTGTTCTTCAACCCTCAGCAAACCCTCAACAGAAGGGTTCTGTGGAAGGCCAAGCAGAGTAGACAGCTGTTTCATGTCCTTTGTCTCCAAGGCTGCTATGCAAAGAGGGCCCCACCAGTGGTGCCCTCTTGGAAATTTGAAGTGCCCTCTCCTGAAGCAGTCTACACAGAGGATGCACATAGGCTCTGGGATAGTCCCAGTTGGGTGTGTGATATATGTAGTAATAATTCGTGTCAAGAAGATGGTTGATATAAAGAAGGGGTAGATATGAGAGTGTGGCCATGGGAGTCGGCAAGCCCCATGGTTGATGATACCATCAGACTCTTAAGGACGAGGCCATCAGGAATGTAAAAGAGTTCAGTGGGAACAAAGAAGTGTGAAATGTGTTCATCTGATTCGTGTCAAATGGAACAATGTTTGGGCCACATGGTATGAGGAATGTGACCTTCTGTTTTGCATACCCTTGTATAACCACAAGTCTAAGAAAAATGGAGTGGTTAATGTATATAGTTCTTGTATCTTGCAAAGGAATGTTTTAGCAAGTCTTGTCAATAGAGATCTTGAAGGTGTTACATATGGAGTGGTAATTCTTGTTGAGAAAATGGTTGATATTAATAAAGAAGGGGGAGATTTGGGAATGTGGCCATGGGGGTTGGAAAGCCCCATGGTTGAGATAACATTAGACTCTTTACGACGAGGCCATAAGGAATATAAAGGGTTTAGAGGGAACAAAGAAGGGTGATTCAGGAGACTCCATGCAGCCCCTGGTTTCTTGTTCTCCAGATGGTTCTCTTGTTCTCCAGCCGTTAAGGCATGGATGTTTCTGGGTGTTTGCTCTTGTTGTTACATTCAAAGTTGTTTGACCAATGAAAAGTTGTTTTGAAAAGAACTGCTGTGGGGTGAAGGCTATAAGAGGGGAGCCTGCCCTCAAGAAAGAGGAAGAAAAAGAAAAAAAGAAAAAAAGGCAACACAATGAAGTTACATCAATAAAGAAGCAGGAAAAAGAAGTGAAGAGGAACAGGCTGGCAGAATGGAGACCAGGACGGGAACAGGCACATTGATTGCCTCATGAAGATAGGTTCGGCCAAAGTCAGCAAACCACTCAGAGAAGCTCGTACAGAAAGTCGCTGGAAATGGGCGCACCAGAGCTGGAGAGAAGCTCGAGCTGAGAGAAGCAGAGCCGTGCACACAACTGCCTCTTGCTGGTCAGCAGTTGCGTATTAGGGGGAATCATACGTCCTTAGGAACAAAGACTGTCCTGGTAACCTTACAGCTCATTCTCCTTATTAACAATCGGACATTTTATGAGCCTGAAACATGGGACCAAGCTGAGGTCAAGGTGTGGGACTCTGCAACTAAAAATTGCAAGGTTGCGGTGGGATTGCTCGGCACCTGGCGAGCGATCTCTGAGGCCTTGAAGAGCCCTGTGGGACCACAGTCAGAAACGTGTGGTACAGCCATCGAAGGCTTTTGCTGTTCCGCCCCCTGTTGACCTGAACGTGTCTTTTGACCCACGCCTATTGGCCTTGAAAAGGAGATGGATATGCTTTTCTTTGATCTGGGAAGAACGGGATACATAAGGCCCAAAGACCAAGTTGCTTGACAACATGAAGCGAGACATATTGTTCAAAAGGAATGGAAAATGGAAACTGTAAAGTCATGGAACTTCAAGGATTACTTGTTACCTTTTCTGAATGTGCATATGTATAAGTGTACTCGATTTTTTGTAAGTTATAGAAATTAAAGGATTGTTTGTTACCTTTCCTGATTGTACGTATGTATAGGCATACTTGGGTTTAGTATGTAAAAGCCATGTTCTATATGGTTAGAATGTTTGATGTTCGTGTGTGCGTGTTGGTGTAACGTAGACTCCCCTCACACCCAGCGTTGTTTACTTGCCTTTTATACATTTTAGAAATATTTGTTTTATAAATATTACAAAATTCAGATTGATTTGAGACTTCATTTCTAACACTCATGAGCCCACGAACCTCAGGCACTCAGAGACAATTGAAGACATCTCTCCAGAAGGCCAAGTCAGAGGCAAGTTTCCTGCACTGTCCCCCTGAGGGTCAGCACTGACACAGCCTCCCTTGGTGCTCGTTAGAGCAGAACCCTGGAGGCAGTGAGGACACGGAGACAGAGGCAGTGTGAAGGTGACACTGATGTGTAGGAAAAGTGGATGTGTTTCACCAAGCACAAGGGCCAGGCCTTGACTCCCTATTCAAGGAAGGGAGATCTTTCCCTTCACACCTTGCTTAGGGCTCTTCCTGGGACACTGGAAGTTGGGGATGTGCATTGCAAAGTGCAGGACAATGGTATGACCCCTGCCTGCTTCATGGGTGGGCGAGGAGTTAATTAGGCTCTGTTCCTTTAGTGATTAGCTTTCTCCTCAAGGGCTTTAGTGGCAAAGACAACAGCCATAGCCATAGACACAAATATCTCATAAGGCAGCTCTCTAGGAAGCTGGCCTGGTTCCTGGTGAGCAGGCACCACTGCTCCTATGGCATCCCTCGTGGTGCCCAGGCCCTCCTTCTCCTGGGCACTGCTCACTCAGTAGGGTCCCAGTCTGCCCTGATGTGTGGGGTTGCTCTTCCTCTGGTGCAGGACTGGGTTCTTCTCCTTTTAAATGTCAAGAGGTTTCTGTAGGCAAAATCCTGCAGCTTCTTGAGGTTCGCCAACACTGAAGCTCCATTCTGTCAGCTCTTCATGTCTGCAGGCAGACAGTTCAATGTTCGTGTGATTGTGCTATCTCTGAGAAGACAGCAGCATGTTGGGGCCTTCTTTCTGTCTGGGTCCTCCTGGCTCTGGAGGCAGAGGGGATCCCACAGTCAGCATGCCAAGCAGGTGCCTTCTGCTGGCCTAGCAGGGCCACTGCCACATGTCAGCCCAAAAGTGCAGATCCCAGGTCTATGTCAAGGCTGACCTGTCAGCTACAGACACAAGTGACCTCACAGTCCCTTTCTGTGACACGTTCCTGCTGCTGTCCTATCAAGTGCAGAGACAGAAGTGACCTCACAGTCCCTGCCACAGTCACATTCCTCCTGCTGGGGCAGGATATGCTGAGGCAGAGCTGAGCTCCTCAGAGCATTCCCACCCATCTCCTCCTCATGGCCCACAAGCTGATCAGATCAGAGCCAAAGAGTAAAGGTAAGGGAAAGGGGCTATGGGCTGAGTTTTGGCTTGAAGGGATACTTTGAGGTCAGGCATAAGAGTAGTGCATTCCTGTCAAGGTGTGGAGTAGCATTTAGTTTTACATCTTAATGTCACTGGTTAACATAGGGGAAGAGCTTTACATGACTATTTTTAGTCTCACTTAGAGCAGAATCAACATCGCCTGAACATTCTAACCTCACAGAAATCATTAATTTCTGCTGGTCAAGCTCCTCTTTCTTCCCCCAAATCTCACATCTCTCCTGTCCAGGCTTCTCCCCATATCAATCATCTTCGTAGGGGCAGCTTTCTGATGGCTTTCATGATCTCAGAGTACATGCACAGCAAGTGCCTTCTGCTGCCCTGTCATGGACACCGGCAGATGTGAGCCTAAAGGCACAGATCCCAGCCAGGAGCCAAGGGTGACCTGTCAGCTACTTCAGAAAGAGCTCAACTCACAGGCCATTTAACAGCCAGTCGCTTCCTGCTGGACTTAGTGTTTCTGAGGCACCACTGAGCTTGTAATACCACACCTACAAAACACCCCATTTTTGGGCACGGACCTGCCCAGGTAGAAATGATCTGGTGGTGATCCTCCAAGCTCATGGCACACCTGCTGGGCTCCCAGCCTCTCTGACACTCAGGAGCCAGTTCCGTGCCAGTCCTGGGTGGTGCCAGGGCAGGAGGAACCTTGCAGGCCCCGTGCCTGTTGGCAGTCTGTCAGATCCTTGTGCACAGTGAAGATCACGCTCACATCCAGAAGCCTGAAGCTGGCCTAGATGACACTCAGGGGAAGAGCCCTCCAAGCCCCAGCCCCAGCCCCAACCCCAGCTGGTGATGCTGCTCTGCAGAGGGAGGGGGCTGTGGTGCCCGGGTCATGGGGACTACTCTGCACGGCCGTGCTGGGCAGGCTGGGAGGCAGACCCAGCTCATGGGGTCACTGCCATTGCCCCAGGGCTGCAAGGAATCACTCACTAGGATCTTTTGCTGGGGCTGCTGTGTGCCCTGGGGCTGCAGAGCTCTCCTCTGCCTGCTCACACCAGATTGAGCACTTGAGCTCTGGTCAGTCCACCTCGGAGGAGATCCCCCCTTAGGAGGGAAGTGCTGCAGTGGAGGCCAGCTGTGCCACTGCCGTGCCCACTGCCTGTCCCTGCCATCACCATCACCATCACCACCCACCTTGCATAGGTTTACTACCCAAGGAGAAAAGGGAAAGAGTTTAAAAGAGTGTCATTCTTAATAATTTCTAAGAGATGAAGAGATGGTTCCTGAGGTATGGAGGCAGCAATTATTTTATCTTGACTTAAGTCAGCGTTATCCAATACAGCAAAACAGTAACCTTAAACCAGCCCCAAGAACTGATAAAGAGCACATCATGGATGACAATTAGTAATGTGCTGTACAACACAATTCTGAAAACAAGCACAACAGACCCCAGATCAAAAATATCAATGCTGTGATCTGCAACTGTTAAACTGATCTGATGCTTATAACAATTTACTTTTAAAACGCTGTGGTCAGATCTGTCATCTCAACCTTTGTGCTCCATGCTAGGCACCAAAAAGCCTTGCTGTGGTTTGACCCGGGAGGCATGCTCAGCACTACAAAGCTATTCACCCAATGTGATGGAAGAGAGAACTGGGAGGAAAAAAAAAAAAAAACGTTCATGGGTTGAGATAAAGGCAGATTCATAGGACACAAAAGGAATTATTATTATTATTATTATTATTAGTAGTAGTAGTAGTAGTAGTAGTAGTAGTAGTAGTAGTAGTAGTAGTAGTAGTCATATTTGTCAGTCACCAGTTGACTGGTACCTCCCCGATAGCCAAGACTGCTGATAAATGATGAAAAGCAGCTTGGGAAGTGATTCTGCCAGCTCCCACAGGGTCCATGAGCAGTGGCCAGGAGGAGGAGGGCCTGGGCACCACAAGGGGTGCCATACAGCAGTGGTGCCTGCTCACTAAGAAACTGGCTAGCTTCACAGAGAGCAGTCCTTTGAGGTCTTTGTGTCCATGTCTATGGCTGTAGTCTCTGCCACGAAGTCATAGGAGAAAGCTGATTGTTAAAGCACCAGGGCCTCATCGCATCCTCTCCCACACCCACGAAGCAGGCAGGGCTCGTACCATTCTCCTGCACTTGGCCATGCACATCCCCATCTCCTACTGCCCCACAAAGATAACTGAGCAAGGTGTGAAGGGAAAGGATTTCCCTTCCCAGGGGATGGGGCAAGCCCTGGCCCTTGTGCTTGGTGACACACATCCACTTTTCCTCCACATCAGTGTCACCTTCACACTGCCTTTGTCTCCTTGTCCTCACTGCCTCCAGGGTTCTGCTCTAACGAGCTCCAAGGGAGGCTGTGTCAGTGCTGGCCCTCAGGGGGACACTGCAGGAAACTTGCCTCTGACTTGGCCTTCTGGAGAGATGTCTTCAATTGTCTCTGAGTGCCTGAGGTTCGTGGGCTCATCAGCAAAGCCCCCAGAGGGGTGATTGCAGTGCCTTGGGCTGGTGCTGTGCTGCTGAGCTGGGCCGGTCTTGTGGGACAGAGAGAGCTCGTGGCAAGAGGGCCGTGGTGCAGAGAGCCAGCTGTGCCCAGGAGCAGCTCCTCTGCACAGCGCAGCAGGGCTGGGGGCTCTGACCGCAGGCACCCGGGCAGAAAGGGATTCCAGGCAGCCTGGAGGCTGTGGGCAAAGGAGAGTTCAGAGCAGGAGAAACCTTCACAGCTCTGCCCACGGTAAGTCTCTGGCTGCAGGACAGTGCAGGGCAGGCTCCTGGGAGGGGCTTCTGTATGCGGAATGTCTCTGCCTGGCCAGGAGCTGCCAGGATGCCTCTCGTGGCTTGTGCGGTGTGGAGGAGAAGATGCTGCAGGGCAGCCTTGGACAGAAGATGAGCAGGTCAGGGTCTGCCTGCAAAGAGAAGGCACTTTGCACTCTCTGCCTGCCTCATCCTGCTATGACTGCGGGGCAGACTCTGCATTAACAGAGTGGCTGGGTTTGCCCAGGTGATGGAGCTTCCTGTTGCATTTCAATAAGACATAAACAGGTTAGTGACGAACCCGAGAGTATCCCTTCAGTTCTCTCTGCTTACACACTGCACCAGGGCTTTGCTGAGATATTCATTAAGGACCTGCAGACAGGGAGATCTCCCCAGAGTTGTCCTCATCCCCGGCAGCTGTCTGCAGGGCTGAGCTTGGCACACAGCGGGTGGAATGGGGTCTGCGAGCATTGACGGGAGGAGCCGTGGGGACAGAGAAAGAGCTGCTGGCAGGGACAACTGCAGGCAGCAGGGACATGGGCAGGCAGTGAGAGGGAGCTGCTCCCTCCCTGCCATCCCCTGCAGTGCAGGCACCTTGCAGCAGTCCCTGTTCTCCTCTCTTCCCCTCAGAGCTTCAGTCACGGCTAGTATAATATGGGGGGCTGAGAATATGGGGTGTCTGAACCCTAAATCTCTGTGCAGTTAGTCACATTTGCTGCAGGCCCCCTCCACCTTCCTCCATGGAAGAAGTCACAGAATCACAAAATCATAGAATATCCCAAGTTGGAAGGGACCCACAAGGATCATCGAGTCCAGCTCCTGGCTCCACAGAGGTCTTACTCCCAAATTCCTACCATATGACAAGGAGCATATTCCAAACTCTTCTTCCACTCCAGAGCTCTTGTCCCTCTGCTGTCTGTGCCAGCCTGATGGCACAGGGCTGTGAGGACAGGCGGTACCTCACCGACACCACAGCCTCTGCACTGGTTTGGGTCTGCCCTGCCTGCCCATGCCTGCTTCTCTCCCTTGCCCAGCGTGGCAGCTGGTGGTGTCTGATTCTGCCAGGGAGTGCTGTGTATGGCGGGTGAAGCAGGAGGGGATGCTCCCTGTTCTCTCTGGCCAGACATGCACGATCCATCTGCTGAGTTTTTCTCCTCGGTATTGAACACAGAAAACACACAGAGGCACACAGCCAAACACCCCTCACTCAGCAGAGGGAGCCACTGCCCAGGAACCTTCCCTCTTGGAACCTCGAATGGAGCAGAGCAGGCTCACTGGGAGCTGCTGGGCAGAGGAAGCTGCAGTGGACACTCAGCAAGCACAAAGCAGGGCTCCAGACAGGGATATAGGCAAAGGTCTTCTTGGAAACAGGGAATGTAAGGCTTTAATTGTGAATTTTCTCAGTTTTGCTCAGAGACATTACTCGTAACACTCTCTATTTATTTATTTATTTATTTTTCTCATTTGGCAGTGTCCATGTCCAGAACCAGCAAATGCCCAACAGCAGCTCTGTGAGTGAGTTCCTCTTGCTGGCATTCACAGACACATGCGAGCTGCAGCTCCTGCACTTCGTGCTCTTCCTGGGCATCTACCTGGCTGCCCTCCTGGGCAACGGCCTCATCCTCAGCGCCGTAGCCTGCCACCACCGCCTCCACACCCCCATGTACTTCTTCCTCCTCAACCTCGCCCTCCTCGACCTGGGCTGCATCTCCACCACTCTGCCCAAAGCCATGGCCAATGCCCTCTGGGACACCAGGGCCATCTCCTATCAAGGATGTGCTGCACAGGTCTTTTTTTTATTCTTCTTGGTTGGAGCAGAATATTTCCTCCTCACCATGATGGCCTACGACCGCTACGTTGCCATCTGCAAGCCCCTGCACTACGGGAGCCTCCTGGGCAGCAGAGCTTGTGTCCAGATGGCAGCAGCTGCCTGGGGCAGTGGCTTTCTCATTGCTGTCCTGCACACAGCCACTATATTTTCCCTGCCCCTCTGTCAAGGCAATGCTGTGGACCAGTTCTTCTGTGAAATCCCCCAGATCCTGAAGCTCTCCTGCTCAGATGCCTACCTCAGGGAAGTCAGGTTTCTTCTGGTTAGTGCCTTTTTAGGTGCTGTTTTTTTTCTTTTCATTTTGGTGTCCTATGTGGAGATCTTCAGGGCTGTGCTGAGGATGCCCTCTGAGCACGGACGGCACAAAGCCTTTTCCACGTGCCTTCCTCACCTGGCCGTGGTCTCCCTGTATCTCAGCACTGCCATGTTTGCCTACCTGAAGCCCCCCTCCACCTCTTCCTCATCCCTGGACCTGGTGGTGTCATTTCTCTACTCGGTGGTGCCTCCAGCAGTGAACCCCCTCATCTATAGCATGAGGAATAAAGAGCTCAAGGAGGCACTGAGGATCTTATCGCAATATTCAGTATTTCAGAGAGGAACCCATCTTTTGCATCTGATTCCCTGAAATGTATGTGGACAAGGCAGAAACATCTTTGTTCATATATTTCAAAAATTGTTCATTCTTTTCAATATTATTCCAATATGCTAAATAATTTTTTATCTCTTTATTTTATAAATTTAAGATATTTCTATTCCTCGTCTACCTTTTCTTCTAACCCAAAGTCCTCATGTAGAGGTGCTTCTAAGCTCTTTCTAGCTAACTAAATAAAGGAACCAGCAGGTAGGCAGTTTCTGTGGATCTCATTTCTCATAAATTCTTCTCAGGTACAGCAGTGGTTGTGGGATGAAGATCCCTGCTCCAACGTGGTGGAAAGCCCTGGTGTCATTTTTGGCTGCCCTTTCTGCCCTGGCAGGCACTCGCTCCCTGCAACCTTTGGAGGGGACCTCCAAAGCCCATCTAGCCACCACCACTAGACACGCATGGACACCTACACCAGGCAGCCCTGCCCCATTTCCAGTTGGGTTTGGGGTATCTCCAGTTGAGGAGGACTTCCCCACTTTGGGGGAAACCTGATGGAGTGCTTGGTATTGGAAACATGATCCAGTTCTTGATATTGCTCACAGTAAAAGTGTTTTCCTGTGTGCAATTCCCATGTCTTGTCCAATCACCGGGCATTGCTGAGACTGTCAGAGGAAAAGATCTGATAGCAAATCCATGTCTCACAGACAGCTCATAGCAGCAGACAGAGATGAAGTAGACATGTTTTCTTGGTATGAGTCTGTACCAAAATGCTCCCCTAGGCCTCTGTATTCAGTAAAAAGAGATCAAGGATGAGAAGAGAACAGGAAGGCCATGAAAAGCCACCAGGACAAGGGCCATTTTCTGTCCCTGCAGGAGACTGACCCTGGGCAAGGCCCAGCTTGGGAAGTAGCCGTGTTGGATGTTCATGGTGGGCAGTGAGCTGGGCAGGAGGCAGCCATGTGCCCTGGGAGCACAGGAGGGAAGGCTAAGGGACACCTCACTGCAGCCTGCCAGGAGCTGCAGGGATGTCAGGAAGAGCCGCCACGAGGTCAGGCTGTGCCCTGTGATGTGCAGGGAGCTCTCCTCTTGCCATGCTGCGTGCGCTGGCTGCAGCAGAGGGGACCCCCAGCCAGCCCCTGCATGGGGCATGGGGCTGTGCCACCCGCCTTGCCCCGGATTTGACTCCTTGTCTCTGCCGGGCCCCACCTTCCACACCCAAATGTGTCCCTTGGCTGTCGGCTCCCTTTCCACTGCCCTGTGGGAATACCAAACAGGGGCGGACAGGTTATCATTAGGTGTGCTGGTGCTTGTGTAATTCACATTGGTGATGGCACAAATGCCGGTTCCTTCACCAGTGATGCACGTCCTTCTTCATGTTAGGCCAAACTCAACGTCCTGCTCTCTCTGCTTTTCCTCATGGATGAACTGCATTAGGTCTCCTTGATTATTCTGAGGCACAGTGCAATGCTTTTTGCCTTCTGCTACTACAGCACAATATGTATGACCTTCCCTTACTCTGCACATTGACCTCATGGGTCATTCTGTATTTGTTGCTTTTAAAATGTTATTTGGACGGGGGCCATTTGCAAAGTGGGGCAAGCTGATGTGTCCTGCCTCAGCCATTTCAAGCATGCTGTACTTGAGTTTTTCAGCCTGAGTTTGCTAAAGATGACCCAGGAAGGTCATCAACAGATGTTCAAGTGTCTATTTTAAGTAAGGGAGAGTATCTCAGGTTTCCAGTGGCCATTTCAGATCTAGGTCAATCCAAAGAACCCACTGAAGAAGAGGTTTGTCTCTGAAGGGGTGTTCCTGTGCTGGAGTGGGCTGCAGTTACAGGGACAAAGACCACTGCTGGCAGTGGAGGTGCCCTGGGAACTCCACCTGGCTCCACCTAATTTTCCCAAAGGGCTCTGGCCTCCTGTAGGTCTTTTCTGACATCTGCCAGTCCAGGCAAGTGCCTCAAACACAACGGGGCCATTGGAGGTTTTTCCTGGTCGCTTATGGTCAGACAGCAAAGCTCTGCCAGAATACCCAGTATTTTTTTTCAGTACTTGAATAATAAAGCAACAACTCATCAGCTCAAAAGACTCAATCCTTTCTGTAAAATGTCTCATGTGAAGTGTAATTTCTATCATGAAGAAATGTGATTTTTCTGGATGCATATTCATCCCAGGAGAAGAAATACTGGTGTTCACCTGTACTTGCATTGTCATCGCTTTTCTATCATGGTGTGCTCCCTCCCTCATCTTCCAGGCACAAAACTCATCTTGATTACATAGACCCTGCTGAATGCCCCCTTTCCATCTGCCTGTCTGGACCTATGCACTTCGCATCATTCTCCTGGTTTGCCCTCTTCTTACTGTTTAATCATTCAGACTAGTCTCAGTGACCCAGTTGCTGCTTGGAGTTCCAGTGAGTTCAAGGTCGCCCATCTCTCAGCAATCTGTCTAATGGTTTCCTTAGAAAGACCCTCATCGTTTATCATTGAATTTGTATGATATGGATTAATATTAACACAATTACTTAATATTTCCTATTAATCACTGTAAAATACATCATGTACAGTCATCCTTTTGGGAAAGTAGACATCACTGGAGGCAACAAAATAAGGAACTTGAACTTTGTTTTTTTTTATTATTATTTTATTTTATTTTTATTTTTTGAAAATTGCAGCATGATTTCCTGTTGTTTGTTTTGAAATAGGAAAACTCCTGTTCTTTTCACCTAAGCAGGACTTCAAAGGAGAAACCCTAGACCAATATAACCAGGAGAATGATGCTCTAAAGTGAAACACAACAAAATTCAGCCTTTAAAATGAAGAAAGATTTTTATTAGATGCTCCTTGAAATCTTCCCCCTTAACTACAACATGAAAGGTCTCCAGTTAGCTGATCAAGTCTTGAAGACTTGAAGAAAATTTGGGGAGAGACATGGCTTCTTAGGAGTTTCTGTGTTTTAATGAGTTCCATGGAGTACTTTGGTGCTGAGTCAAATAAACTTGGGTACTGAGAGGAGAATGATGCAACTGTGAGAAAAAACAAACTCAAAAGGAAAAGCTGAAGTGACTTGGAGTATTAATGGGCCCCACTGAGGACTGTTACTAACAAGGCCTCCCCAGGGACTGCTTTGGGCAGATAATTGGAGGCCATGATTATAGACAGGCAAAACACGGTGCTGAGAAAGGTCTTTCTTGGTTTTGGTGATGCAGAAGAGCCAAGGCCTGACCCCAGCCACTGTGAGGGGAGACCCTGCACCCCCTTGTCTGGCTCAGGACTTTTTCTGGAGGTCTGAGGAATGTAGTGGGCAGTGTGATGCCATGAGAAGAACACTGGTATGACACCACCCTGCCTCTGCACAGGGTTGCAAGGAAGCAAAGAGGCTGCATTGCAATGACTATATGTCATCTTCTCATAAGCTCTAGCCAAAGTGACAGGGCTGTTGGGGCCTTCCATTCTTGCCAGCACTCTCTGCCTTCTCCTCTGCAGGATTTAATATGCTGTCCCACACTTTGTCCTATTTCCTGGAAGTCTGCAGACACCCATCTCTGTTCACCACCTTCCCATCATCCCAGCATTTCCATCATTTCACCGTCTCATCAACCCTCACCAGCTGTTCCTTGAAAAACGAAGCTAAGGTCACATCATAGATACTCAGCAGTATCTTCCAAGACAGGGCCCTGCTGCTGGCCTTGCAGCTTCTTGGCTACACACAGCCAAGCCTTGTGCCTCCTGCTGCCCACTCGTGGACTCAAGCAAAAGGGACAGGACAACCCATGTTGGGGCCTTCTTTCTGCCTAGGTCCTCCTGGGTCTGGAGGCAGAGGGGATCCCCCAGTCAGCATGCCAAGCAGGTGCCTTCTGCTGGCCTAGCAGGGCCACTGCCAGATGTCAGCCCAAAAGTGCAGCTCCCAGGGAGAAGTCAAGGGTGACCTGCCACCTCCAGACACAAGTGACCTCACTGTCCCTGCCAGAGTCACATTCTTGCTGCTGGGGCAGGAGATCCTGAGGCAGAGCTGAGCTCATCAGAGCATTCCCACCCATCTCCTCCTTGTGGCCCACAAGCTCATCAGATCCATAGACCCTCACATCCATCTTTGAATGCCATGTGACTGCAGAGAAGTCTCACAATTCATGCCTCACGAGCAGCCCCCAGATGGGGCCAGAACCGGCTTGGGAAATGGAGGTCCGTGAAGCTGCAGGAGCCCTCTTCTCTTGCCTGGGAGATCCCCAGCACAGTGCCTGTGCCCTGCAGGGCCAGCCCCGCTCCCCAGGCCAGCACAAGAGGCCTGGCCCAGCCACAGAGCAGCTCCAGAGTCCTCTCCACGATGCCATTTGCCATCAGACCTAGCAACTGCAGGAAATGCCCAGGCCAGTCAAGCCCAGTTATTATTGTTTGCTGGGCCATGTGCTTCCGAGAAGTCAGATCCCAGTCCAGCCCTTTGTCCTTCAGTGATCACTATGGGACTCTGATCCATCCTGAAGCCCAGAAAAACAAGAGGGCTCTCCAGGGAGAATCTCCTTGGGTGTATTTCTGACACCAGCTTTAGAAGAGGCGTACAGAGATGTGGCGGGGATGCCACTGTAGGTACATAAGGAAAGTCATGAAGGTGCATGAGATCTCATGGCTAACTGTAGTGGGTCTGGCTGGAATGTTAACTTTCCCGCCAGCAGCCCATACAGTGCCGTACTCTGTACTTGCCACCGGGGCTGCTACTCCATGTGGCAGCTGGGCTCTTGGCCCTGAGCCCCTCCTGCATGCTGGGGCTGCTCCCCCAGCTCCGGAGGAGATGGGAAAAGAGGGATGCTGAGACCAATGAAATTCTTAGGGCTTCTTTATTATCCGTATCTATACAAGAGGCCTGATCATATGTCCATAAAATGGACTTTCGTTACTTTGGCTCAAAGCAAATAAAAACGTAACAGATAGGGGTCTAAGAATAAGACTATTTAAATCAAAAAAAAAAAAATGAAGTAAATAGCAAAAAGAGATAAGAAGGGAATAATAGAGAAACCAATAGATTTTTGTCTCAGTTTCTGAAATAAAG